CATAGTTGTCGACAAACTGACTATACCAGTTGCATACCCCTAAAAATTTTCGTATATCCCTTACATTGCGTGGGACTGGAATATCGCGTATAGACTGTAATTTTTCCGGCTCTTTGTCTATGCCTAACCCATGCACCCGGTGTCCCAAAAAAGAAATTTCAGAATACCCGATTTTACACTTTTTAGTGTGGCATGTTAGGCCATGACGCATTAGGCGTTCTAGAACCTTGCTAAGGTGGTCTAGATGTGTTTCGACACTGTCCGAAAAAATTAAAATATCGTCCAGATAGACTTGAACGAAGTCGTCGATGTACCCCCTAAGTACTTCGTTCATTAAGCGTACGAAGGTCATGGGTGCATTCTTAAGTCCGAACGGAAGTACACGAAACTGAAATAAGCCCTTTTTCGTTCTGAACGCGGTGTATTCGCGTACGTTTTGCTGTAACGAGCATTGCCAGTAACCCGATTTTAAATCGAGTGACGTGAAAATTTTTGCCCCCCTCATGCTTCTAATCATCTCGTTTAGATTAGGCATGGGATACGCGTCTGATACGGTCACATCGTTAAGTCGCCTATAGTCGACACATAAGCGATATGAGCCGTCTTTTTTCTTGGCCAGCACGACTGGTGCTGACCAAGGAGAAGTGCTGGGTTCTATGAGCCCTTGTGATTCCATGTCGCTTACCATTTCGTCTATCGCTTGTTGTTTGTGTAGCGGGTACGGATATGGTTTTTGCGCGATAGGCGTCGGGTCTTTTAGAACGATGTTGTGTTCGATAAGCTTTGTGCGACCTACCGTGTCGTTAAAAACTGCAGAATAATTTTTTATCGTGCGCGTTAATAATGCGTGTGTATGTGGGTCGCCTGCTATATCTAGTGTTGAGAGATCTACGTCGGGTAGCGTGTGCTGAGTACTCGCTTTCCAACAAGCTGTAGTGCGTCGCGTCGCGCCCAAGTGAATTGTACATGCAGCGTAGTCCCAGGAGACTTCCTGTTCTGTTAGAAAGTCGTGTCCCAGGAGTACGTCACAGTACAGATTCTCTAAGATAACAGCCGTAAACTTTACTTGTAGATCCGCAATTTTTGTTATAAAAGTGGCTGTGCCGGCCGTGTGTGATGTGTGGCCGTCAGCTAATCTAACTGGAGGTGTTTGTCCGTTGTGCACAATTCCGAATTTGTGAGCTGTTGCTCGAGTGGTATACGATTTTTGCGCTTGAGAGTCAAGTAAGGCCGTCACAAAACCGTTGTCAAATTCCAACTCCACAGCGGGAGTAGTAATTTTACGCGGGCGTGTTTGTGCGGCAGTACTCAAGTGGTTAGCGGTTCGAACGGGGGGCGTTGAAACGGTTTGTTCGCCGGCAGTATTAATTGCCATAAGCGGGTAGGCCGTTCCTGCCGTATTCCCCTCCCCCACGGTGGTCAACATATCGTTGGCCCGACTCGCGCTATAGTCGTTACCCATTAAGTCTACGAACGCGTGACAAGTATTTCGAATAATCTTATGGTCCTCATTGTGGATGAGGGGTGTGGTGGTGGTGAGGTGTGGTGCTACAGCGTGCCCACTATAATGACAGTGGGGCTGTAGGGGTGTTGGTGAAGTTGGTGTGAAAGAAGTGTGCATAAGATTATTCAAAATAGAATCATTTTGTTCGCAGGAAGCGCATCCGTTCTTGCTACCCGAGTTGACTGAACGGGCGGTTTGGTCGGCGCGCTGATTAGTGCGATGATGTTTTGAGCGGAATTGCGTTTGTGAGCCCGGAGAATGGACTAGTTTCTCCGTGGCTGTTGTCCGTTTCCCGGCACTGTCGGTCTGTTAGGACATTCGCTTTGCCAGTGATCGGCTCCGCAAAAGCGACAGGGTCGGGGGGGACGCGGATCGGGCGGTGCGTTTGGCCGCGGTCGCGTTCTTTGCGGTTGCTGCGAGGGTGATATGGCAGCCACGTACGGATTAGCGTTATTAATAAGTCTGCCCGTACGTATCGGTCGGTCTAGATCGTTCGCGATTACGCGTAAGTCATCTAAGGTACGCGGACATCGCATTCTTACGTTACCGTAATATTCGTTACGTAACAGACTGACTACCCGATCTACAATGTGCTGCTCAGAGCAACTGGGGCGAGCGCGCATCGCTAGACGTTGTTTATTTATGATAAATTCAGTCATGCGCTGATGTGGCCCCTGTTGCGTCGTCATGAGTTCGTTTTCTAATTCAGCTTGTATGCTGTTGTTATCGAACGTCGTGAGAAATTCCCTCGCAAATTGTCGCCAGGACATGTTGTTTAACTTGATGGTTTCCCACCAAGTTAATGCCATGCCCTTTAAAAATTGTACGCCCGTTTTTACCCATAAATCGCGATCTATGCCTGCTTGGGCCAATAGGTTTTCTACCTGTTCTAGAAACTCGCGTGGGTCCTCCTCATATTTTCCCGTAAACTCGGGGGAAGGGGGTCGTACAATAGGCGAATAATTAAGTGGCCCGATCGCCGTGTGCGTGAGCGAACGGGTCGATGATGATGGGGACAAATCGCGTGTCGGTGGCGCGAATGTGTTCGTCGCGAAGTGCCCCGGTTGGTGTGGGCGCGCGTCTACGTTGTAAACCGCGTCGTGCGTGTTCGCTCGAAGAAGCGATGGTGACGTGCGCGGAGTCTGACTGGCTAATCGCTGTAGGTTAAGCGCTTCGCGCTCCTCGATTTCAGTCAGGCGCTGCTGTAGGGCCGCGTCATTTTGAGTCGTGTTGCTGGGCCCAAAAGTTACGCGGCTCGGTTCGGACAGACGCGCGTAAGTAGAACGGTTGGTTTCCGTCGTTTCTCGCGTCATATGTGCGGTGGCGAACGGATTACGTATAGTCTCGTTGTGTGTATCGCGGCTTACAATCGTTTGTGAAAGAGATCGTATTTCTTGCGTAATGCGAGACAGTGCTCTCTCCACTTCAGACATGCGCGCATCCATACGTGTATTAAGAGATATATCGCGTAAACTTTGTCTTACTGCGCCTATCTCCTCCGTTGCGTGAGATATTGAACGCACCGTATATAAGTCATCGGTATACGCTGCGTTCACACTACCGTTAGGACGGCCGGTTGCCAGAGACCATTCGTGTAGAGATTCCTCTTCAGGGTCCTCTCGCGCCAGGTTAACCGGTCGGTCCGCGTATGTGGTTGGGTCGACGGTCCGGCATAACGCGGGGACTTCGTCAACCTGAGACTCGCGTTCCGTCGCGAGCGTCTCGTAATGAAGCGGCGGGCGTTCGGGCAGAATCGCGTTCGATGGGTCTAGCCCCTCACTGCGTAAACTATTCTCCAAGACTGCCAGCATATCGCTTTTTGTCGTGGGGCCGTTTAACTGCCTATAAGCGCATTCGCGCAATAATTCCCGACGGTTCATTTGAGCGAGAGTTTTACCGGTCATAGTGAACGTTCCTTACGTATTTATCGAAAATAAACAAAAATAAATAAAAGAAACGCACGCGCTTATTTGTTTTTGTTATTTAGAAATACGATATCGCCTATTGCGAGAATACGCACTGTGTGTTCGCGTATGAACGTCAACAATGTCGGCCGTTTGTATTATTATTGTTATTATTATTGTAGTTGTGATTGCAATAATATTGTGGTATTGCGTTGATAGTGGTATGCTATAGCACTATGATACTAAATAGTATATGGAAATGCGATTATTACGATAGAAGTCGTATAATGATTGTGGAGGTCGGAAATAATAATACAAACGATTTTATGGGACCCGGTTATTAAATGTAACGATCGCTGTGGTATGATAACGCGTATGATCACCCTACCTGCCTAGCGGTTTTATCGAAACACTTAAATGATTGTGTTCGCGGCGTTGTGCGACTCAAGGTCGTCAGTGCGCGTGTATGTATAAATACGAAATCGCCAGAAATCCACTTTTACCGTGTTTAAAAATACACCGAAGGTGGAAATCTACTACTCGCGAGGTAGATAGTATTTATACGACCGGGTGGGAATTTCACTGCTGTCACCAGTGAAGTAGAAGTTAAAAATACCCGTAGTACAGGGAGGTAAGGAAAATTTCGCTGTCTCTTTTAAATAAAATTCAAAATTTATGTAATTAATATAAAATGTCAGCAGTATTTTCTTACCTTATTAAAAAGTTATTCCGGTTTAGATCTTTGCCGGGGAGCCACTTGTTAGTGGGTAAGTGTTGAATGAATAGTCGACACAAGATTAAGTTTCTAAATGGCGTGAGCCGTAGTTTATTGTAAAAGTTACAACAAAAGAAGAAAACCAAAAAAAAACAAATTATTGAAAATGATAAAACTAGGTAGTATGGTTCACAGTAATAAGATGATTTAAAAGAAAACACTAAAAAAATATGTGTATTCGTAGTGAAAGTATTAAGAGCACAAAAACAAACGAAGGCCGAAAAACGGAATCGCACATAAAGGTGTCACGGAGGATAACTGACTGGACGTATTATTGCGGCGGGGTATGCGACGCTAGGCATTTGTTGGACTTTACACCACGGCGATAACGCGTGTGTGTGACGGTCCGGTTTACAGTTAAGCGGTGGCTGAGAAGGAGCTGACACGACCGCGGGGTGTCAACGTGTGACAACGCCGTGGCCGTGTCATGTTTTATTAATTTTATACACATAAATAAGTATGTTTTTTTTTTACTATAATTCTATTTGTATTAAGAAACTATATCCTGTAAATTAATTTACCATTTCATCTTTAATGGAACCAAAAGACTAAATTTTTTAATTTAATTTGTTTTAATAATTTAATTAAGTAATACAAGGATTTACCAAAATATTGTATCATGTTATAATTTCTACTACTTATTTTGAATAATACAGTTGTTGTCTATAAAATTTTTTTTTACCTATGCAGTTGTATAATATATTATGGCCAATGTCAGATAATTATAAAATATTTTTTTTTATACACGGGCCAATGTCAATTTTTATTCTTTATTTTAGTTACTTAATTGTTAGTTTATCAAAGTTATTATGGAAAAAAGAAAAACAAATTGAACCATAACAATTATATCATGTTAAAATAAAAACTAAAAATTTAAGAGATATTTCTAAAAATGGCCAATTTTAATAATCGAGTTTCCCGAAAATGGACATTTGTGACATTGGCCCTTCTTGCACCAAGCCACAGATATATATATATATAGAATAGCTATAACTATAGCCTACAATCAATGATGATAAAAGCAGCAAACATTTTGAGTAGAGATTTAGTGATTCTATCGTCGAAAACTAGTTTTAACTACATTGCTACCCTCAGTTGCATTGGAACAGTGTGTAAGTAAGTTGAATTAATATTCATATATATATTTAATTAATATACATTTTTTTTTCAGTAAAATGGTAATCATAAATCATTTTTATGACGGTGGCCGAGATGGTAGTGGCCAAGGTGGACGTGGCCAAGGTGAACGTGGCCGAGGTGGTCGTATGAATGTATTCAAAGGGAGTAAGTAATAGTTTTTCTTAAAATTATAATTTTTTCTGTTTTTTTTATTATTTAAGCATAAAAGNGTAAGTAATAGTTTTTCTTAAAATTATAATTTTTTCTGTTTTTTTTTTTATTTAAGCATAACACAACAATAATATTCCAATCCAAACATTCATTTAATTATGATTTATATTAAACATTTGCAATATAGTTTAAACAAAATTTGAATTACATTTACATATTTATTATATTAAAATTAATTTATGGTACATATATCGTTGCCGTAGTGTAAAAAGTGTATAAATTTTTTATTTATTATATAAATAAAAAATTTTTAATTTTGTATTTTTTGGAACTTTTAAATAAGTTGAAAAACTTAAGAATACATTTTTAAACAAATTAATTTGATATTTTTCAATATTTAAATCACATCAAAATTGAAGATTCAGAGTGACTTAATTTTTTTTTTTAATTTTAAATTATTATTGTTAAAATAAGTTGTGAAAATCTCATTTGGTTATTTCTTGTACAGCGGCGACAATATGGTATATTTTGCTTTACCATTAATTTTGAAAAGCCGTTTTTGTAATTAATAGGAAAATAAGTGTTTAAATTCTACTAAATATCGTTTATTTTGCGTTAGAACATTTTTATTCACAAGCGATGCAATATAATATTATTATTGAAATAATCGTTTATATATCATATATATTAATCCGTAATAATAATTATAACTATTCTAAACCTTTATTTTACTTAAGACAAATATTTTCTATGCTTTTATATTAACACTGTAATAATATTTACAAAATTCGAGTAACTTAAAGTTATATCTTAGCTAGAGTCCTATGATATAGTGTTTAATATTCATTTTCAAAAAAGTAACTCTGAATAATATGATGAAATATGTTTAAAAAAATAATTACGCTTTCCCGAATTCTTTTAAATTAAAAATTATTTAAACAAATTATCAATGATGATGATAAGGTGACAAATTTTCCTATCCTTCTCTTAAAAGAACGTTCAATATTTATTGTTAAATCTNAAAGAACGTTCAATATTTATTGTTTAATCAAAATTCCTTATATTACAGTTATAAAAATCGAACCTTATAGTATTTGTTAAATATACAGTCTAAATTCTCAATCTTATTTATTATTTATTTTCAATTTTGTAGCATGTAACTATTGTAAGAATAGAGATCACTTGGCCAAAACTTGCAAAATAAAGAAACAGCAGCAAAATCAACAACAACAACAACAGCAGCAGCAGCAGCAACAACAACAACAGCAGCAGCAACAACAAAATCAACAACAACAGCTACAACAACAACCAACAGAAAAATGCTGCATATTATAAATAAATACATTTTTCTGTAGTGTTTTTTTTTTTTAATAAAAATTTTATAAATAACTACTTATTTGTTTTTTTATTTTTATCATTTTATTATTTATTCTAAGGTGTATATAAAGTAATCATATTGGATAAACATAGGCTGCATGAGTTTAGTACTTCAAATATACATCAGTAAACACATATCATTTGTGATCAGCAAATGATAAAAATTCGAAGTAGAGTTAAATTTTACATTTTTGTATACATTACGATAATTTAGGAATCTAAAAATATTTTACTTTAAGGTTACTTTACTTTTACTTTNAATCTAAAAATATTTTACTTTAAGCTTGGTCACTACAAACTCTGAAATAAATTTTAATTCAATGTAAGAAAAGAAATTCTCTATTTAGTGTTGTGTAATGTACTACAATTTATCTCAATAGTTGCTTTAAATTATGCATTCAGGTTGATCAATTTATTTATTATTATTAACTTTAGGACTTGATATATAAAAATTAGTATGGTCGTAATTTCAAATGTGAAATACTATAGTTTTTCAGTATAATTGCGAAGTTTAGAAAGTAATTAAAATAGTAGTGGTTTGATTTCAACATAAAAGCCCAAAAAACTATAAACTCAAGTTTCAATCATTCAATATTTAATCTTATTTTATTTTCCTTTAGTAAAATACATTTGTTTAATCTAAAACTTATCAAAAAGTTTTTTGGTGATGTCTAAAAGAAAAAATTTTAATTAATAAATTATTCAAAATACATTATAATTATAAGTCGAGAAAATATTCATAACATTCAATTTACAAATTTGTTTAATGGTCTCAGGAATTTAAATGAACAAAGCATTTATTTTTAATTAAAAAGAAAATTTGACGTAATTTTGTAACTATGTAGGTAATTTTTAATTAGTATTTCTAACATGTTTAAATTACATATTAAATAAAGACGTTTTAAATACAATTTTTTTTGGAGGAGGTTATTTTAAAAAACAACTTTGTACTTGGTAAACTCAATTAAAAATAATATAAGGAAGTCTANGTACTTGGTAAAATCAATTAAAAATAATATAAGGAAGTCTAAAAAAATTGTCATCAATCTCTACTTCTAGTAGTATCTCTACTATATGTTATTTCAAAATACTAATAATATGTTTGCATTTTATTTTTTATATGTAAATACTCATTTTTTACTAGTTAGTAATAATATCAAAAATTAGAAGTGATAGAAAAAGTCTAATTTTAGATTTGAAAACGGCGCGAAAAGTTGATTTAAAAAAGTATATTTTTGATTCTGATGAATGTTTCTTGTAGTCCAGTGTATAAAACTTATAACTTTGTTCACTGTTATAACTTTAACAAAAATGACCAAATCAGTATAATTTTTTTTTATTTAGATGCATGTCTTTACTTATCATTTGTTTTTTTTATAAATCTAACTCTTTACCTGCCCACAAGTGGGATTCAAAATTATAACTTTCTTTTTTTTTAGTTAAAGTAAATCATTAAAATTAAATCAGTTCTGGATATTTCAATTGTAGAATCTTTTTAAATACTAAAAATTACTTAGAAATGATTACTATGATTTCTATTTAGGTGTTCTATTACGA